TCAAGATAAAATTCTTTTCTGGAGGAGGGAGTCAGGGTGGGAGTGATGCAGAAATTGCCTTCTTCCCTCTGGTGTTAGTGGAAAGCAACTGTTGATCATGGCAGTTTAAGCAGACATAGTTCTGGTTTGGGGAAGGGGAAAATAATGTCAGACCAAGTGTGTCAGTGTCTGGGTGTTCCATTGGTTTGGCCAACAGATGAGTGGGTGTTTGATGCTTTGCTGTTTGTGCTCCCCCCAGGAAGCTCCAGTTTGCTCCCCTGGCCCAGTCCTGCCCTGTCCAGTTCCGGGTGGTGGATTTGCCAAATACTCACCTGCTCTGTAAGGTGAAAACCCTGAACAAAGGCGATGCCAACTCCGAAGTGACAGTCTATTACCAGGTAATGTGTGCTGTCCTGTCCCTCTGGCAGCTGCTGAGGCTCCAGCTGTGCTTATGGCACAGCCTTGAAAGTGGTCTTTGGACAGATATACTACCAAGGGGACATGGACACCTCATGTGAGCACAGGCTAACCCCAGGTGGGCTCTCACACACGGCCTAGGGTTCCCTGAAACCAGCACCATCCCCACCCAGCCTGTGCCAGTGCCATGAGCTGGGTTAGTGCCCTGGTGACTTGCTGATGTCCCCACCTGTGCCCTCATGGGCTGGGCCCCTCCCCTCTCTCCTTCAGGCCACAGCGAGGCCCCTGAGCAAACAGGAACTGCCCATCCGTCCCTGCTGTGAACTGTGACTTAGTGCTGCAGTCCGGGCTGAGGTGTGTGCCATCTGAGCTATGGCCTTTAGCTCCATGAAATCACCCTAAATTCTTCATTCTCTTTCTAGTCAGGTGCCAGGAACCTAAGGGAATATACTCTCATGGAGCTGCTTGTGGTAAGTTAGTGTTTGTGTCTCTTAACTCACCCCAGCATCTTCCCTGAAAACAGTGCTTGGAGCCAAGGCCATGGGGCTAAATGGTCTCAAGGGGAGAGACAGTGCGTACCTACTGCTCCCTCTGACCAAAATCTGAGTGTTTGGGTTGGGACCCCCAAACTGCTGCAGGGAGGGACAGTATGGGGGATTGTTGTGTTAGCTCCTGACCCACGGTAGCTCGGAGGCCTCTTGACTCAGTGGGTGGAGCTGGAGCTGAAGCTCTTCACGCTGTGTTGTGCTCCAGGTGGAGCCCGAAGGGGCTGCAGGGCAGTGTCACTGCTACTGTAATGCTTTGTGCTGTTCCAGATGCACATGGAGGAGCCTTGCTTTGACTTCCTGAGGACCAAGCAGACCCTTGGGTGAGTTCACTGAGGAGGAATGCTCCTACACCTGCTCCTACACCCTTGCTTTTGCTCTTCCCTAGTATTTTTACTCTGGAAATCCTTCCCACACAATGGCTAATTCCTGAATTACTGTAATGCAAACAGCAGCACCACCAACACATCAAAACCAAGAGCACCCACTGATACAAGCTGCAGCCAAGTTGCTGCTGATTACTCTTAAGAATTGTATCTACTACCAGTGTGTTAACTCAGCACAAAGCTGTTCCTTCCACTTGCAGCAGCAGCTCCCCATTTCCCAGGGCTCTGTGTGCAGAGCAGCCTCCCTCAGAGGCACCCAGCTACCTCATGAAGCTGGACCAGGCTTTGCACAGCTATGGGTCTGTCACACTGGTTGCATTAGTTTGCAGGAACACAAACACAAATACTCTGCCAAACTTAAAGGATTTCCCAAAGATGAGAAAACACAAGTGCAGTGATGCAGAAAATAAAGGGAATAAGAGTGTTGTGCATTTGTATCTGAGATTTTCCTGTCTAAAGTACCAATATTATTTAACTTGTAGCTGTCCTGTAAATGAAAAAGTGAATTGTACTTGTGGAATGACTATATTGTTTCCTCCTTTCTTCTTTTAAGCTACCACGTGTACCCTACCTGCAGGAACACTTCTGGGATCCTTGGCTTCTCGGTCACAGTAGCAACCCAGGCAACTAAATACAAGTAAGTGCTCAGTGGGGAATGTTCATCACCTCTCCCAGCTGTGGGCCACAGGAGCCACCTCTGAGCACCTGCTCTCACTTCAGAGTTCACACCTGTTTCAGGCCACAGAGGGGTTTGGTTTGTTCTATGAGGGGAGTTAGGGCACAGGGGACATTGCTGACATTGACTCAACATTGACTCAAAACCAACACCTGAACAAAGCAATAGCCTTAAGCTTCTTAAAACTGCAGCAGTCCTGACTTGAATAGGGAATAGTAATCCAAAGACTCAGTAAAATATCCTACTGCCCTTTTGAAGCTATTCTGCCAGGGCAGCTCCAGTCCTGTAAATCCTGTTGGGCTGTTCTTGTGGCTCACTTTGAGCAGACACAGCACTATTATGGTTCTGTTCAAAGCTGAGGTGAGCTGCAGGTATTTGACCTGCCAGAGCTGAAGTGTTAGTTGAAAAATATGCAACTTGTGAAGAGTAATACTGAGTCAGTGCAGGTTCAATTAGACTCATTTCTACACTTGGATGACACCTCCATTACTGAGGTCTGTGTCACTGATGAAGGTTTTAGTCCTGTCCCAGACCTTCCCTCATCATTTGGGGACTGTTTTGCTACTTTACGTGTCAGTATTGTGGTTTGGTTTTTGCTTTTTCCTGCCTAATTATTTAACTCTCTTGTAGTTCTGAATTGGTTGACAAGAAAATAGAGGAGTTTCTTTCTTGCTTTGAAGAGAAAATCAAGCATTTAACTGAGGAGGCTTTTAACACCCAGGTAAAACTTAACTTCACCTTGAAAAGCTCTTTGAACTGCAAGATTCAGTTACAGCTACTCAGTGATTTTGTGAGGTTTTCTGGACAAAGGCCTCATATTTAAATCCTGCCTCTGGCTCTGCTCTGCAGTTGGTCTCTAAACATTCATTTACAGTTAAGTTTAAAAGCAATGAATTACCTTGTTAATGCAGTTTGGCTTTTCCCTCACCTGCAGTGAATATGACAGTAAATTAAGGTAGCTTTAAACCCTTAGAAACTGATTGTTTGGTCTTTTTCCAATGTAGGTCACAGCTTTGATAAAACTGAAAGAATGTGAAGACTCCCACCTTGGAGAAGAAGTGGACAGGAACTGGAATGAAGTGGTGACCCAGCAGTACCTGTTTGACAGACTGGCCCGGGAGGTGGGTGTCCTGCCCCGGGGGAACACACACATTCCTTCTGCAACAGCTGCCACACTGATTGTGAAACTGCATGGTGAAAAGTTCTTTGATCCAGGGGGATGGAGGTTGTAGAGAAACCATTTCTGTGTTTAAAATGACTTGAATCACCACTGTGCTACTAAAATCTCATTCCTGTGGGTTTCAGATTGAAGCTCTCAAGTCTGTTACCAAATCAGACCTGGTCACCTGGTTCCAAGCTCACAGAAACTACAAGAAGAAAGTTCTCAGTGTACACGTGAGTTTTGTCCACGAATCTCTGAGAGCTCAGTGAGGGTGTGATAGAGGAGATCTGTAACACTAACTTGTACTCGGGTGGTTATCTACATTCTTGTTCATAATTTTCTACATTTCTCATTATTGGTGGTGTTTGAATTGCATTCCAGTGTCTGAATTTGTCAGGACAGAGGAACACTGAATGAAATCCAAATTTCTCTTCTGGTAACTTTTCCAGGTGGTCGGATATGGAAAATATGAAGGAGACTCAGAGGTTACAGCTGTCTCAGGAGGACACAATTCTTCATCTGGTGAAATACCTCATCTGATTTTCTTGCCCCCATCTTCTCTGATGGCTGACGTCACTTCCATCAAAGACATCAAAGCTTACACATCGACACTGACTGTCCTGCCCTACCATAAAATACTGAAATAAAACTGACACCTGTCCTGCAGTGCTGTGTAGTACAGGTGCTTCCTGCAACATACACATCGCAAACCTGTCTCTACCAAACCAGGGCTGTAGTGTAGCTGGGATGAAGATGTCCATTCAGACACTGAGGAAACTTTCCTCAAGCAAGTTCCAGCCAACCTTTCTCATCCGTCTCCCACGTTCATTAGGAATAGGCACAGCCCTGACTCCCACACTGATGCCACGTTCTCCTCTCCAGCTGTCTGGAGCCTTGGGCTGTGCCTTTGTGTTCAGACTGTCTTGTGCATCATCCCTGCAAAGCTGCAGCAGTGACAGCTCCTCAGGAAAGTATCTGCAGCACTCCCCGAGGAGTAAGAGTGGGCAGGAAGGGAGGAAAAGCCTAAAGGCTTCCATCTCACACTGCTTTTTTAGTTTTTCTGTATGTGCAACATAGACAAAATTGAGATGAAATCAAATAAAATCTAGACTTAACTGTGGAGAGAAAAGTACTTTGATTGCTACATGTAGCTACTTACTTCTTCACCAACAGCACAGAAATCAGAGGTACCCAAAGGGCTGGCAAGGCCGGAGTGAAGGCCAGAGAAATTCTCCTGTGGGTGCTGCACGTTCTGCTAGTTCAGTAACTACTTCAAGAAGCAGATTTAGCTGCAAGGATTCCAGTGAGGAAAAAATACTAATCCCTTTCACATAAATCAATTTATCATGACTCAGCTGAAGAAAGTCTTGCGGCAAAGGTTTATTATGAAATAAATAAAAAGTCCATAAGAGAAGTTTGAAAAATCTATTTTATGAAGCTTTAAGATGCGTTGGGTAGAATTATCTATGGTTACATTTCAATCTCCAAATAACAAAGTTATTTTGGGCAAGACACCGAACTGCCAAAAGATTTGATTATCATACAGGTGGAAGATAACATTGATGTAGCATTTTCTAACAAACTGTCCCATCGAAGGAATCCTCATATTTACACACTGCAAACATCAGCGAGATTTAAATGACGTCTTGCACTTTGTTGCTTGGTTTTAAATATGTAGGACCCAGGAATATAATGCAACTGATACCAATGCCGTGGCCTTCACAGTGGTCAGACAGTGCCTGTGCTCGGTGGCCCAGCCTGTCCCTGCTGCAGGAGCGCGAGGAGCAGAGCCCCCCCCTGCCCACGGAGCCACTGCTCCTTCCCTTCACTGCTCCTCTGCATCAGTAAGTTCTGTATCCCTGAGATAGGAACCACTGCAGGGGAGGGCTCAGGCTCTCCCTTCGCTACCTACGTGATAACTGATGACTCTCTTGGTATCAGATGTAAACTTTGCTAAGCCAAGGCTCGAGTGTTCTGGGGCTGTGGAGCGCGCTCAGTGCTTGCTGGCAGCGAGGCGTTTCAGCAGGGGCTCGTCGTACACCCAGCACTCTCCATCTTCATGGAATAACTGGGCAAAGGAACAAGCACGTGTAAGCTTTCCATGACAGAATGGGAAGGGAACAATGCTCCAGGTTAGAGGGCATTCACCCTCCTGGAATAAAGCTCACCCTTGTTTCCCATGAGGTCTCATTCTCCTTCCTGGCTCTGGCCTCAGCCCGTTGCCGTTCCTCGAGCGCGTGCTTTGCAGCTGTGGCTGCATCAATGTCTCTGATTTTTAAGTTGTAGGTGACATCTTTCCATAAGCTTAAAAAAGAAATTGGAATGGACACTGCTTTTAGAGCAGAGAACTACAGGCCTGTAGAAACTTATCAGTAACTAAGAGCCAGCAATACTGGTCTCACTTTAAAGAAAGGGCAGGAAACCCCCCAGTAAATATTACACCACAACTGAAGACATTAAACTGCAACTGCACTGTTAGTGCAGGAGTGATGAGGCTGTGGTGGAGCTCTGTAGACCTTGAACATTTGGCCCCAACTAGGATGTGACTGCATTCCAGGTCTTCTCTTCCCTCTTTCCCCCCCAGTGTGGCTGTGCCTGGGCCCTGTGCTGCAGCTCAGAGAGAGCACAGGGGCCATGCAGTGACTGCAGTCAGTGTACCCTGATTTGTGTACTGCAAACTGCAGTCTAAGTAAAATCAAATCTTAACTTGCCCAGTTAACTAAAGTTCTTACCAGCGAGACTCAAAGTCGTCTTGGTCCTCCAATTTCCTTACCTTCTTCTTAATTGTAGGCATTTTCTTGGTATCTATAAAGACAGCATTCTCCTAGGGAGGGAGATGGAAAATAACCATTCCGTTCTTTAGCCAAACTTTAAATTTGTACAGCTCACACTCTAGTACACTGCTTGTCCAGAAACACATGAAAAATGGTAGTTCTTTAGATTCTGTTCTTGTATAAAAATCAAACTACCTTAAGAAGAAATGAACAAAGTAACTTCAGAACTTTTATCCCCAGTTCAGCATTATTTTGGGCTGCCTCACAGGAGTTCCCAACTATTAATGTTTGTTTAAAGAAAATGTAACCAAAAACCCACCCAAAATCCCCATCTAAAGCACAATCTTCTGTTTCTGGTGGAAAGGGGAAGAACAAAGAAATAAAGCTGTTACCCCTGTCGAGTACTTTGCATACATGACCCCGTTCCATTCTCCTTCAATGGAGCAGAAGGGTTTCTTGTCATTTGGAGAACTGAAGAGAAACAAACAGTCATTTCTCAGCTGTATTACAATAACTGAAAGATCCTAAAGGATCAAAACTTTTCGCTAGTTGCTGTACATCTCTTAAGATGTCCACCACCAGCACACAAAGGATGATGAGGATTCTGTTTACAAGTGAGTGGTTTGGCCTGAATTAGTGGCATAAACCTTAAAAGGAAACACTGATCAGAGTATGACAGGCCTTGCCCAAGGGCTAGATCTGAATCTGGAGTTTAAGAAACTAGTTCTGGGCCTTCCAAACAGATTCAGGGGGTAAGTTTAAGCTTAAAAACACTTCACTATCTCACAGCTTCTTCCCCAGACTGCTGGGAACACAGAACTAGTTCACAAATAGCATCTATGTGTCAAGAAGTGATTTAAAACCAAATTATAAACCTCATTTTGTCAGCACCCACCTACTGACATCATAGCACATCCCCAGATCTGAAGGGAATCTCCACTGAATCCTCTGTGCCTGGTGTGCTCAGGGTTTAACCCAAATCCACCAGACCACAGCAATCAATAAGCATGTCAAAATCTGCAGCAGAGCTGCAACTGACACCAGGAACAGCAGGAAGCAGTATTCCAAGTCTTGCTGCAGGACTTGGGGCTTTAGAAGAGGTAATGATGAAGCCACTTTGGATAATTCAGGAATGAAAAGTTCCCTCTGGTAACCAGCTGAGGCTGTTTTCCAGCAGGACAAGGTGGGACAGAGGCCTGTGCAGGCTTCCCCTCACACATGTGGCTATAAAATGGCATCCTGTGAAAGGTAATTGTGAGCTAAGTTACTGCGTGTTGCTGTTTGAGTATTTTACACTCCTGACTGCCCTGGACAAACACTGTTGGCATTTAAGGAGAGCAAAAGTGAGATAAGAAACCTGCTTACAAAATTTCAGCTGTAACTCTGTGCTTCTTTCCTCCATAGAATGGTTTTGTGTGGAAGACGATGGAAGCATTATAACCTGTCTTTGAGCAACTAATACTGCATTCTCCTCCAAGCTCTATCCATGGCACAGTGAGAATAGACCTGCAATGATGAAAGTATGTACACAGTTATAAGCACAATGACTGATAAATGATAAGCAATATTAAACCCATGGTTTGAAGTTTAAGGGTTACAGCAGTGGCAGGTTAATGGTTGGACTCGATGATCTTAGAGGTCTCTTCCAACCTTGAGGATTCTATGAACTATTCCAAGGCATTAAAAATGAAAACCCCAAGCAGAGCATTTACTTGCCTTCCATAGCCGTTAGGAAAGGTCAAAATATAATGTTCATCATAATCTAGGCATGTGACACACCCTGCAAAAGGAAAATAAGGTGAGATGTAAAAAACATTAAGCAAAACCTCTACAAAACTTTTCATTATGATCTCATGAAATACGCCATTAAAAACAGGGACCATGGAAAGGAAAGGTGAAGAGCTTTATTTTCCATGGATGCTGGGAATGCTCAGCACCTGGAGCAGGCAGGAATGGCTGTTCTGTGGGAAGAACTGGACCCTAAGTGGTTTCTGCACTGTGTGCAGAAGGAATCTCTGATTCCCAGGTATATAAGCTCCAGTTATGTAACTGCAAACATTCCTTACATTTAGTTAGACGAATTTAATAATTTCTGTAAAGGATTCTCTGAAAAATTCTAGTGGCAGCATGTCTAATACTGAATTTACACACACATACCTTGCCCTATGTTATGAACCCCAATAGACATTCCTAGGAATTTGGACTTGGTCCATATGTGAGCATTGAACTGTATCCTCTTGCTAAAACACTCGGCATAAAACGCTGAAACTGAAGAGAAAGGTGTTAAAAATAGCAGTGTAAGACATTCCCACTATTGTTCCCAATTTCATTCATCAGTAAGCGTCTCCCTGTGCCTCATACACATGTGGCAACAGAGTTTGCAATTAGTTTCTCACAAAAATTAAAGAGAAAACTTTTAGCTTTTAAATCTGGAGAGAAAATGTAAATCCAAGATTTAAAAACCCAAGAGCTGATTTCACTGTTACTCCTATGCAGGTGCCAATTCTGTTGGCAAAGTCACTGTCAACTCACTTGGAGGATGGTGGGAGACCTGCTCTGCCACAAAGGTGACGTTGCTTTTACTGACCCATGGGACTGGTCCTTCCGAAACCGGTTCCTGTGTGACAGGGGAGAGAGTTTCCATCACTGACAGTGCTTACAAACACTGGATGCTTCCAGAGTCACTTCCATGGTCAAAGGCTTCTAAACAAGCACTGCAGTGATTTTAATGTCTTTGCCGGTTTGCTGATGGGGAATTCCTCCCTCCTGAAGCCATGAAGAGAGTTTTTGCTCTCTTGTTTAAGTACAAATGTAGCTGGGGAGATGTCTCCAAATAAAACAGTTGAACTGGAAGACTCATGTTTAAACCCAATTACAAAAGAATATTTAAATCCACTGCTTTTCTTATTAACTAATAAGAAATGGGTGGCAGAAACAGTTTTCATTTTTGCTTCTGAGAAAGTCTGATCTGCATATTAATAACGATCAGTTCTCTGTACCACAAAACCATAAACCAACATTCATTTCCTGTGGCCAGGAATCCCAAGTGTAACTCGCTGCTGGAAGCAATGGAAGCACAAATTCAACACTGCCTTGATGCCAGCAAAGCAGGGTGCAAACATCCACCTCAGAAACAGGGGAAAGGTTTGAGCAGACGAACTGGGGGGAAGCAAATTAAATGGGAAAAGTACACACTTAACAGCTATTAAAAAAAAACCACCAAACACAAGTTTAGTTAGATATACTACACGGAGGCTACACAACTGCACTTCATGCTCAGTGCTATGAAACAGTTGGGGGAAAAAGAAGAATTTCAACATGCCAAGTACTTCTTAAAACACAAACAGCTCAAGTTTTGTTATGCAAGGTATCTTACACTTCTGTTCAAAAGAAAAGGAGGAAGGAAGGGGGAAAATTGCCACGGTTTGTTGATTTCACTACTTAAGCACAGCTTTGGCAATTGCCCACATGCATTCTAGGCACCAAAAAACATAGCACAAGAAACTAACCGTATCATCTTCACCTTCAGTGCCTGGCAACACCCAGTGGCATCGGAAGATCTCGCCCAAAATGGGATTGTAAGGCTTTTTAGCAACTGACCCTTTTCTTCCTGCATGAAAAGCTGAGAGGTACCACTTAACCACTTGAACCATCCTCTCCTTCGGATCCTTCTGATCACTGATGCTGTGTGGGCCAAAGAGAGAAAAGAAGGACAAGCAAAATGAAATCCAAGCAGGTACCTCGGGTACAGGAAAGCTCTCTGCATGCTTGGCTAGTTTACAGTTACAAGTTTGACTGTTTTCCAAGTTTAGGTCAAACCCCAAGCAATATTCTTCACTCCTGGCAGCCCAAAAGGGCCACAAACAACATGAGAACCAGTTAACGCTTTACTTGAAAGTCAAATACCTGACAAACAAGTCTGGATGTGCAAAGAAGTCAGCATACATTTCCAACAGCGACCTTCTCTCCAGGATAAAAGTTGGAAGAACAACCTGAGTGAAGAAAAACAACAATCTTATGGGTGAGGATACTTGGACATCCTGCACAAAAGCCAACTGTACTCACTGTAAGTAGCACACGGAGCACCCAGAGCTCCATGTGCTGTAAGCTGATTGTGAGCTCACACTTCCCAATGAGTTCTGACATATGCAGGTCAGTTGGCATCTTCTATAAACCCCCAGACTTAAGAGGAACTGTCTCCCGTCTTATGTACTTTCTAGTCCCCACTTAGAGCACATCCAGCTACGTGGCTGAGCTTACCAAAAGCTGTTCTTAATTACAGTATCACTGGTTATTTAATTTCATCTATATATAGCTGAAAATTGGCAGTGCAGAATCAAAATCTCATTCACACAGTCACATCCTGTTATGTGTCTCTAGCAAGATGAAGGTTAATCTCTTCCCCACTATCTCCCCAAAGGCATTTGCAAGTTCCATCCTTGTGGATCTGCTGTCTGCCTCAGTGTGATCCAGACCACTGCTGAGAGCAGAGTTGATTGCTGCTGCTGACAAGGCCCATGCTCATGATGATTCTTGGCAGCTTCACCTGCGATCAGGAATTTTCAGCTGTTCCAGGCATTCCCAAAACAGGCACATTTTGGATCAATTCTTACTCAAAAGTGCCAGAAACCTTCCACAATTCACCTGTGAGCTGCTGTTTGTTTCTCCAGAAAAGTTCTGTCTTTTTATTATCTACTGTGAATTTCAGACTGGACAGTTCAAGTCATCCACTTATGGAAACTAAGGACAGGATTGATCTCTCCTACCCTTTTCCAGCCTGAAATGACCTGTTTAAATTCAACCAAGCTGCCTAGAAAGACCAACAGCTTCAGAATGCTGTTCATTCAGCCTTTATTCACACCCCAGCATGAACCTCACCCATGAAAAATCCAACCCTTTACCTGCCAGACCTACACGTGCCATTTCAAAATGTACAGGCTACTTACTTACTCATCAAGATCCCAACCAAGCATTTCACTGTATGCTTACTTCCCCCTTTTATTTTACTTATGTTCTGTGGAATGCCACCATTCCCTGGGTTGTCACAGATCTTTGCTCTGGGAAGCTAAAGCCAGGAGTGACATTACTACTGCACACAGTATTCCTCTTAACCCAGCTTCACAGGCACTCCAAGAATTAGGTCCAAAGAGAACAAACAACTACTTTCCATAGCAAACTATTTTCCCCAACAGATTTTAGCAGCTGGATACATTTATTCTGCATTTCTCCCTTTCAGCGAGAGTTCCCATTAAAAAAATTCTACACTAAAGGGATTACAGCTTGAGGAGCTCTTAGAACAAGTATACAGTTAAATTATTCTACAACCTTGAGCTGATTTCCACAGAACTCAGGGTTTACTCCCCCTCTCTTCCCCAGCAACACTCAAAGTTTACCTTGGTTAGATCCATGCCTAATCTGACTTGGGACAATAGATGCATAATAACACTTTTATGTTCTTCCACCGATTCTCCTTCCCCATCATCTTCTCGATCATCAGGAGGATCAAAGAGATCTGGAAAGACCAAATTGCTTTTGTTTTTCTCTAAACCTTCAAAGACAAACTGTATTTAATTAGCATACATATAGCTGTCTAAAACTCTCCTTTTTACACCCTACAATTCAGCAATCTGCCATTAGGAAATAAACAGTACAAAACCCAACTCCCATAAGTACCTTGTCGTATATAACTGATCATACACAGACTGACAATCCAGATAGCCACTTACCTGCATCATTGGTGCCATTAGACATGGAAGAATTGAGGGACTCCGTGGTGTCTGGACGTTTCAGGCTGCTCCCCGTGCTGCTCCGAGTCAGCACTGCAGCAGACCCTGAAGAACTAAGGAAGAGTAATAAATTCTCACAACTCGCAATGAACTAATTCAGATCAAGTTATTGCAATTTGATATTCACAGACAAGGGGTTTAGTGACAGACATTAATGTGTGTGCAGTGACAGACATCAATAGATGTGTTGCATGCTAATTTCCACAACGCTTCCAATGGACTGTAGCTGAAGGAATGGGATACTTGCAGCCTCAGATAACAACACCTGAAGGCAGAAAACAGCTAGTACTTCTTTGAAATGTGTATCATCTCTTAAAACCAATTTTCCAATTCATAAAAAAAGTCAATAGAGATGTTGGGGAAAGAGACAACTTCAACAAACTTTTGTTGGTAAATGTGAGGGGGAATTGGCTACTTACCAAAGGCTGCACCAAACACATGTGAAATGCACCACTGTCTCAGACCACAGCTCTGAGCTGGTGCCTTCCCAAGTTTGGTTTATGTGAGAGTTTTGTCAACATGTATACATGATGGAGTGGGAATGACCAGAGGAGGAAACTGCCTCCCTGACAGGTGCCTGTGCTGAGGGAGGGAGTAACTTCACTCTGTTACACGAAGTGTCTTTTTGGCCTCCCCCCACCTTCTTTTTTTTTTTTCCCAAGCCAATGAGGCTTATACACTTGTTTAACTGAATGAACTCCTACAAGCAGACAAGCCATGTTCTTGTGGATCAAATCTGTTCTCAGCACATGCTGCACAGTGGCAGCTACTTACTCCATACATCGCTTTGGGGAAGAACTGCTCTGGTAGAATTCATCAGCATCATAGAACTCATCCTCACTGCTTGAGTAGGAAAAATCTGGGACTGTATTTGGAGACAGGTTGACATGGCTTGGAGAGGTGAGACTGCTGCTAGGTGCTGACTGCCCACTCCCTGTGGAGTATTGAAAGTTACAGACTTATTAAACACAAATCATTTCAAAATCCACAAGTGTAACTTACAAGTAGGATTGTTCACATCAATAAAATCTGATGGGAGCTCAGAAGGTGTAAGGTCTTACAAAACTGGAAGCAATAATTAGGTTCAGACTGAGCTTCATTTAACAGACAACAAAAGAAAGATCATGAGGAAAACAAAGAACACAGAACATGAGTATAAGGACATGTTTTCCCCAGTTCCTGCAAGACTGCAGTACTGGAAACACAAAGGGAAGTTGGTAATACTCATGTACTGTGGATCCACACCAGGGGGAGAGGGAGGGATAACTGATTTTAACACAGCACTGAAATAGGTGCTGATTAAAAGCAAATTGTAGCCAATACAGTGTTGTCTAAATAACTAATTACAGACAGCCCATGTTCAGGTTTGTCTCCTGTACTTCAGATGGTCACAGAGAGCTGTACCTGTACTGTTTGGTGTTGGAGTCTGATTTCCAAGCGATGCTACCACAGGCCCCACTGGCAAAGACGAAGGTCGCTGCTCTGACTTGCACAACTGAGCAGGTTCTGGGGATATTTTGTAAAACAGAAATTCACACTTAAATACGAGAATTATACTTCTGTTAGAGAAGGAGATTCCATTTTATTTCACCTCACCTCCAAAAATTAAATCCTTTTCTACAAAAGCCATTCAGAGAGAATAAAGTGTCTTTATCTATCATCATCACTTATCTAGCTCCTTTCTTTATTAGGCAAAGGCAGCATTTAAAATGCAGTTATTTAGCTACAAAGCTTTTATCTTCTCTGAAAATTATAGTTCTGTTTGTTTTTAAAAAGTACATTAGAAAAGCAAGCTAGTAACCTGGAGCAAGCAAAACACATCAGCTTACCCACAGCCCCAGAGGCTGATTCACCTGCTGCCTGGGGAAGCTTCATGCCTCCTGCTCCTTCCCCTTCCTTTCCCACCCCGAGGTGAGTGTGCAGCACTCCCTGCAGGGTGTAAGGGTGTACCCAGAACCTGTCCCCCTGACACAGCCCCTTGGGACCCTCTCTCCCACCCTACCTGGAGGTATGACAGCTTGGGAAGGCATCGTGCTGATCACTGACGGCTCCAAGGGACTGGGCTGATACACTGCGTCCACAGGGTTGATAGTGCTCTGGGGCAACAGAGAGAAAAGCACATTTTTTTCCCCCCCATTAAAACAAGTAATATAAAACATAGATAGCAAGAACATTGTGAGCACAAGAAATGCCCAAATGCAAGATAGCAAATTCCTGAGAAAGAAAGCAAAACAAAAACTGACAGCTGAGGACATGAGAAATACTTTCCCAGTGACAATATTTGAATTCTTTACACAGATTTGACACTGAACTGAATTTCCTACAGATTTGAAGAGCCCTATAAAGAACTCTCAGTTCAAGTTCTAGCTTCTGGTGTGCCTTCCAATGCCCCATAGTAAACACTGCATGCAAAGAGTGGAAAGCTAGATGCAAATTATCTGGCAAAAATTAGGATACGTAATCGGTATTTTTTAAAACTTTTTTTAACAGTTAATTTATCCAGACCACAGTAAATCAACCCATAAATCAAAACAGGAATCATCAGCATGCTTACAGCCACAAAGAGGCTTTGCTCTTCCCAAAGCAACCTGACAGTGTGTAGTGCAGCTCACTAGAGGATGTTTCTATCTACTTCTGGACGTGGGCACTTGGGAAATGAAGCATCAGGTCAACTCAACCGTCCAAAGTCACTGACCTCATTGTATGTTCTTGGTTTATCTTCCATGAGGCCCTTGGAAATCTAAACCATCATGTCTTTTAATCCAAGCTATCAGCTAAGCACTGTTTGTTATGTATGTTTACACACAACAACCAAAACTTGTGGGTTGTTAGTTGGATAAAAGGCACATAAAAACCTTTTCCAACCATCTTGCAATTTAAACCCATCAATTTATGTCAGAACTGTGGAAATCTTTGCCCCGGTTTGCTAGGAAATTTAGTGAGTATGTTTATCCTTATCCCCTTTTTAGGTCAGTATTTGAAATAGAAGAGCATCTACAACTGTTCTTCCCTCCTTTTAGTCTATTAATCTCTGTTTGCATTCAGACTCAGGGAAACAAGCTCATTTTAAGTTTCCTCCTCCCATTTCTCCTACAAAAGGCAGACTTCATTCTTGCCTCCTTTCCTGGTTAACTGTAATTCTGAGCTTTATCCTATTTGGACAACACTCTCAGACACATGGTGTGATTTTTGGGGCTGTCCTATGTTGAGTCAGGAGTTGGGACTTGATGCTCTTTGTGAGTGCCTTCCAACTTCTATGGTTCTAAAAGCCTGTGTAGAGTTTTATTTTTTTATAGCACAGGATTTATCACCCTGCATATATCTAAAAAAACCTCCATTAGACTAAGGCATAAAAATAGCTTCCTACATTTTCATTGGTGTTACTACCCAGTATACCAGTAATCCAGTACATACACTGTTACTCCACTGTATTCCAGCATAAAATCAATGTCCCTTACACATTGCTTCACCTGCTTGTGGAATTATGCATGCAACAGGTAGGTCCCTGTCCCACAGAGCTCACACTTTAAAATCATGATTCCATTTTCAGAGTTAAGGCTTAAAAATCAAGACAGTCCTATGATACATAGGATGCTATTGCTATCTCTGCCTCCCTTACTTGTTAGGGAAACTAATAATCCACACCTTGAGAACACTGGGGTGATAAAGGAAATAAAGAACAAAGTAACTCTGGCTTTGTATGCAGGATTGTAGCCTTAACCCCTGAACAATTCCCCACACTGCAACATGGAGTTTCTTGCTAGATATTTTTGGGGTATGCCTTCACAGTTAGAAACAGACAAAGGCAGACCTGAAAGTTTCCTATTCTGAGTTTAGTAACAGCTTAAAAACAACCAAGCAGAAACAAGACTGTCATCCCACAGTATCAAACACTGATCAAACTTCTGCCTAAGTTTAAAGTGAACTCCTGACCTTTAGCCCAAGCTAACACTGACCACAGTGGCATCAAAAGTTTAGTCTTTACCAGCACCGATGCATCAGTTAATATATTTTTACAGTGTATTTTTTCCCCTCCCCAGTATAAGTCAACCCACGTAGAATGAGTATAGTGGGTAATTACATTCAGACTATATTAATATCTGTATGTTGCAGACCTAATGTGCAGGTCATCTCTGCCTGTGGAAGTGTCTCCCTGTATAACTTCTCTTGTCCAGGGCATGTAACAGAACCCATTCCCTTACACTAAGACCTGAATTATCTGACTATCCACAGGGTAGGTAATAATTCAGTTTATATCATAAGCATGAAACCAAAATCTGTATGTGCATCTTTACTCCAAAGTTCATGCCAGAAGATCCTACTGCTAAAGCTGTTTGTAATGGAAAGACAAATTGAGCCTGGGAATTACTGTCAGGTCTAATGAAAGCACACTGTGATTTTTATAGTTATGTTTTACTGAAACCAATCTCCTATTAGGAGTATCTGAAATGTACTCAAGTGACAAAAACAGAACAAAGAAAGAGAAGACACATGTGACTGAAACCAAAAATGAGAGAAGTTACATTAAAAATGCAGAAGTTCTATTAAAGAAGAAACATTGCTTAGACAGACGTAACACAACTCTGCATCAAAGCAGCAGCACTGTGGAAAAGACAAACTACTTGAAGCACACGGAGAGCAGATCTATTTCCTACACAAAGAGACTTCAGTTGAACACAAAACTATTTCTATCCCGGTAATTTCCCTTTCATCTGTTCCCATGGCAGATGTTTATCTAAGTGTTCGGTCACAACACTGCCACTTGAGACACTCCATGTAACACTGACCATTCTATTTTCTAAAGACAAGGGTGTTAGGCAACCTCAGGAGCTAATGACTCAACAGGAATTTTAACAAGACACTTGAAGCAGTAAATTAGAGAAAGGAAGAAGCATGTTGCAAAGTGAGTGGAAATTCAGGTCTCTGTTCACATGTTCTGCAGAATTGAAGGGAGATAAAGATTAGATTTAAACTTACTATAAGTCCATCTGCGTGCTTCTCCTCATTATTTTGGTCCTTAAGGAAAAAATGTTACAAATATCAACATAACAATCTTGCATGACTTATCAGTTCTGTGCTAAGCGAGAACAGCGAGTGTCGCTGGGGAGTGTTTACATTTTCAGCCATAAGATGTTCCTCAGCATCTGATCCAGTCACTAAACTTTGAAGACACAATTCTAACACATAGTCACTGTCCCTCTGAAGATCAGTGTTGTCTGAGGACCTGCCCACATGAGTACAGTCTTAATAAACACCCTGTCTGCCTTGTGAAGTTCAATTATGCTTTACAACACGGGTTCTTCCCCAAGAGCTCCCCAAAATATGGTCTGCAGCACCACTGAGTCCCTGAAAACAAAGCTCTCTGTGATTAGCACAAAGGCTGTTTTCAAAAGCACTTTTTGCTTTAGAAAGGCAGAAGGAAGGTCCTTGTAAGCTAAAAGGCTTTAACTTTTGGCATCTATTAGACTGTAAAATGTTTTTAGGTTATTCACAATCTCTTATTTTGTTGGGATTTCTTTTGCCTAGAAGTGTATGTGGGAGAGCAGGAAATGTATGGAAAAAAACTGTCATCAGGGAACGGCACTAGCAGCAGACAAGTTCAAGCCAATCTACAATCTAGTTATAACCCTGTACCAGCAACAGGATAAATTTTACCGAACACGAAGCCAAATCTTTTCCCTTCTGCTGCAAAGTTCATATTAGTCATTAGATCAATCTGTAATTTTGCCCAGTGTGGACCTTAAGATTTGTCTGCAGAGTATTTCCCCAGACTTCCATTTGTTAAACTTCAGAGGACTACAAACAAGAAAACCTGTAAATAGTATTAAAAAAGCTGGCACATATTTATGTTTTGACACTTTATACATTCCTCCTCAGCTTACACAGTTGGCACTAGGCTGTTCAAATTTCATGTCTGTTTGTTGACATTTCTCAAGCAAGGCTTTTCTTAATAAAACAACAACAAGGGCAACAAGTTTCACTTACGAACAAAGGAGACTTACAAACAAGGCAGAAGTAACACTGGATTTGAAATACATCAATTTTTTTCCCCAACACACAAAATCCCCATGTTTTGCTATCATCTCTAAGACCTAAGAAATAAAGCACAAAGATGCTGCATGGCTACTGATGCAGACTGAAATGCCACAAAACTGGGCAGGAACAATGGAGTGAAAAAGAGAAGGTAAAGGTGCAAAACTAAGTATCTAAATTATAAAAGCTACTCCATAACACATACATATTTCCAAGACTGAGGTGTACCACATCACTGGCAGACCAGGACATATATTTTACAACACACACACCAGCAAGGTTGAACATCTTCCACTGCTGTACACACAAAGAGGACAACACAGGCCGAACGCTCCACCTGTCCATCCCACTTAGCTTATTTTGATTTGATGCTTGATAGGCAATGTATATACTATAATAAATTCCTATTTAGCTGGTACTTACTTCATTATTTTGAAAATGCCTCGGGCTCACCTCAAGTACAAGTGGCATGGTCACACACTTGGATTCACCAGGAGGTTTAATGAAAATTGAACTGTCCAAATCCTAAGGTAGGTTTGTTTTAAGAGCCCATGAAATAGCTCAATTTAGCACACAATGAAAAACAGAAACAAAACCGAACTCAAACCACCAAAAGTCCAGGTTTGCCTCAAGGTATCAAAACCACCCAAAACCCAAACGACTGCATGTCTGAAACAGAGAGATGTTCTGAGTATACAGAGAAGTGGTAACAATGTTCAAGGCACACAAACAACCAGAAGGTAATTTTCAGGTCTGTCTCCTACTGAGAAAGGTACTGTAGAAGTAAAAATGGGGTGCAAGGTGGTGTTAATATGATTTCTTTTCAGCACTGTATGCCAGCAGCCACACTTGACTTACAGCTTTGGGAAAAAACCTGCAGAATCTTAAAAGGCTCAGTGCTGGAGAACAGAGAGCTGTCAGCCAGGCACAGTGTACTTCTACATGTATTATGCTTTGTACACATGCAGCTTGCAGAACTGCAAAAAAACCAAACCAACTTCCCCTGTATTTTTAATTTCCTACAGCAGTTAGAAATTAGGATGCCAACAGAGTTTACAGGAAAGGTAGGGGGAATGATGACAGAATTGCCATGTAGTCAACAAGCATAGTTGCCTGAGAAAGAAAGAGGAAGAAGGTGAAGAGATGAAGCAGAATAAAGGTTCTTAAAGCAGGGGGAAGATTTACAGAGGGCATTTTTCACTCTGTGTGGATCAATATCTTACAATTAGCTGTGCCTCAGTCACTCATTCAAACCACCTCCACAAGAGCTTTAGATATGGCTTAGCAAAGCCCAAACAAAAAACCCCACTCCTCAATGGATAAGCTAATCTCTTTATAGTGCTTAGTGTTCTGAAAGGAGGACTTCAAGGCCTGATTTAGTGTAACAGAAAGCAAGTCTTAGCACCTTTGGGGGACCCAAATTCCACCTACCTTTATGCTTATATGGTAGTTGGAACAGTAAAGAACTGAACCTGATCTAAAACTACTACATCTGACACTAGCAGTTTTGTCTCTTATCAGCAAACCATGTAGGCAACTTCAAAATACAGCTAGTATTAGAATAAGATAAGCAGTGATACTTGTCTATCCCCCAATTAATTTGCATACAGCAGAAACAGAACCTGATATTCAATAGAAACAAGAAATCTAACTCAGCCACCTATTGCCTCCTCTGGTCAAGAACCTGAAAAGCAAATTATAATTCTGCTCTCTCACATTGCTAATTATATAGCAGGGCTTTTTATAAACAAGCATAATTTCAAAGGAATTAAACCCTGTGAAAATAAGGACTATTAAACACTATTAACACCATATATTACTATTAATATAGTAATTAACAAAAAATGAGCAAGCACTTAGTTGCAGTTTCCCCAACAGCTACCTCAGTAGAGCAGTTGTCTAAGAAAATTAACTTCTAATCTACAATTGACTCCAAATCCTCAAAGACTGACACATACTCTACTGGCTTCACTGTACTAAAATACTTCTAAATATACTCAGTGCTCAGTAACAACAAAGTATTAAGTACTGACGAGGCTTTTCTTGCTGTCACTGCAGTGAAGGATTTAAGTAGTATCACTGCATGTTAAATAAAGACTGTTCTATTTCAACATATCCTACTACTGGCAAAATATTTTTAGTTTTGCACAAACGTGTTAACTAACAAACTTTTTCTTCAGGATTTTAAGATTATTGATATGAAACTTGAATTTCACAAAACACACACTGATATATGCAGAGAATTACTTATGATCCTGCAATGTTCTCAACACTTCAATTTTCACCAGGCTCAAAATTTTGCACAGTGTATCTGGCATCTAGAAGGAAGACAAACAGCAGTTTTGCATTTGAAAGCTACAGAAAAATAGTTGATTTAGGCTACAGAAAAAAGAACCCTGAAGAGCCTACACTTATTTCTGGATAGATCAGAATGTGTTCTGATTAAATCAGCCTTAAATTCTGAAAATGCCTTCAATTAATTTCTTTGCAAAACACTTGTCTTCCTTCACTTCAGTCACAAGATATAAACCAGAAGCTCACAATTAACACATCCTAAATATAGTATATTAAACCTGCAAGGGCAAAACTTGATGGAAAAAATTGAATCCAAATCTCACAAAATTTTAAGAAGTAACAGAACATTTAGGTTAAAAGCACAAGTGCATTACCCATATTCTAGTCTCAAATAACACAGTTCTTACTTCACTAAGTTCCAACATCAACATGAACTTCAGACCCATCAAAAACCTTGTCAAACTAGTTTAATTATTTACATCACATTCTCCCCTTTTTTTTATTTGTTAGTCACATTCTTAAATGAAGCAGAAAGGTCTGTTAAGTTTCTGTTCTGTCACCCTCATGTTTGTCTAAGTTCTTCTTTAGTCTAATAGCAAACTCTGCAAAACAAAGTTTGGCTCAAGGGAAACTTGACACCAACATGACTTAGCACAAACATTAACAGGAGTGTGTCTGCTATGGAACTCAGGATTTCAGAAACTTCATGAAAATAAAAGCATAGATCAACTTTTACTGGGTTTTTTGATATACATATCTCCTGGATCATACAGAAGGCACTTTTAGATGTCAACTGTTTCCACACCGATTAATGTTCCATAATTAAAATTCAAAACAGTTTACATTGTACTTACTTTTGCAATCTGTAGCAACACAATGCAGTGTTTTATTGATTCTACCATGCTCTAGGAAAACAAAAATAACAGAATAGACCTTATATTACTATCCCTTAATATTTTGTATTTATCAGCTGTATAGAATATTAGCTGAAATAGTGGGTGAGAAGTAAATGGACACTCATTTTTAGAACCTCTACTTTCCCTTCCCTTTTTGTTCCAGAGACAAAAGCACAGCAGTGGAAAATTGAAGTTTCCAAAAGCCACACACAGCCCAAGCTGTCAAGGTGAAATGGAGGTCAGCTCCAAATTTTCAGGTAAGCTGTCATGGGAGGAGGCTGAGGGAGTTGGGCTTGTTTAATCCAGAGAGGAAAGGGCTCAGGGACACCTCATCAATGGGCATCAATACCTGATGGGATGGGCAGGTGTGGAGGAGACGGAGTTAGACTCTTCTCAGTGGTGCCCAGTGACAGGACAATAGGCAATGGCCAGAAATAGAAATACAGAAGAATTCACAATTCACAGAAGAAAATATCTTTTTTTTTTCCGCCTCTCACGATGAGATTGTCCAGAGAGGTGGTACAGTCTCCATCCTTGAAGTTACTCAAAACCCAACAAGATCTGGTCCTGGGCTCTACCTGACCATACTCCAAGAATGGGGTTGGACTAGGGACCTTCAGAGGCTCCTTCCAACCTCAGTAATTCTGTGATTCTAAGGTGCTGGGCACAAATCTGAATACAGCACCAGAACCTCTGCCCTCACACTGCTGGACCTAATATGGATTCCTACTTTTTTGTAAAAAGGCTTTAAAAACTTTTCTGATAAGGTGAAATTCAGAATCTGTATATAATAGAGAGAAAAATGCACAAAACTTACACTAGTTGTTTCTTTGAGACTTTCAATTTTCTGCAAAAGAAAAATCAAAATAGTGTGGTTAAAAGACAGAATTTCCAGCATCTGGTTTGACCTAAATTCTTTCATCTTACATTGGAGGAGGAATAAAAGTCCTTAACCAACATGTTAAAGACTATTTCCATATATAGACACAATTTTCAGGACAAGACAGAAGTGAAACTGATAATTATTAAAGATGACAAGGTTAGGAATTTCTGAGCAGTGACATTATGCACATTTACCCATCAAAGTCCGCACTTCATTTTTGCACAACACTAACAAAAATTGAAATGCAGTATGAAGATTCACTCCAAGCTCAGTCTGTATCCTTATAAAGTGTACTGAATGGTGCCACATCCAACACCATTGCATGAAATGGCCATCATTCAATTATAATAAACATAAGCAGCTAAGCACAGTTTGAAACAAATCACAGAAAGTAATAGTGCACACGTGTTGTTGCTCTAAGGCTCCAGTAAAAGTGCATCTGGAAATCTGCCTACTTAATTTTATCTACAAACACTGGTTCATAAATATTTCCTGTGTGGAACTGCACTTGAGGCATGCAAAAGGCATCTGCATGCCATTTTACACACCAGTGTGACCTATCCCAGGAGCAGATGCATCCTGTTGATGTCCTGGGGTCTGGCTGCAGAAGGCAAATTATTAAATTGGACTCGGCACTGAACCTGTACTAATGCAATTACAGGAGCTTTTTGTTTTGATTAATACAAGTGTCTCATGTGACTTGAGTCACATCCTTCTTGGTTCTTGTCTAATCAAAGTGTGTAAAGGAACTTTTTCCCCACAAGCCAAATTCTACACCATAAGAGAGCAACATGCACCTACAAATCTACAGGAATTAATAGTCCCAGTTTGGGGATTACAAGGAAAACATGGGGTAGATGACTCATGGTTGAAATCTGTAAGGTGTAGCCTAAAGAAAGCAAATACAGTGATGGGTTCCCAGCCAATACCTGGGGGAACCTTATCAGGTGCTCTATAAACTACTCCTAAGGATGCCATACACTTCCCTCAGGATTAATTGGCAAGAGATGCCCCAACAGCACCCAGCCTCAGCCTTTCCCACTGGAGAGACTGGACCATGTTGATCTAGGAGTTAACATACCAGGAATGTTATATCACAAAGTTATATTGTACATTATATATATTTACTCCTGCTTCTAGTAGAGAAATATCCAACAGCTAAAAATTCCTTTGCTTTGTTTTTGCTTGTTTTCCACGACTCTACTATACTTTCAGTCCAAACTTATCAACACATATCAAAAAAAGCATCTTAAATATGACAGCAGTGAAGTTTTGAGCCTGTTAGCACCAAAATAGACTAGGCAATATACCCAAACATATAGATCTTGTCAGCTGAAAGACGATGCAGCTGAAAGAAATCAGTCTCAACGCTTTACAACTGTAGACAGCCATCAGCAGTTTTCATCGTTCTTTACCTGGGTTTTTTTCCCCCCCAACATGTTATAAAGTATTTACACACCAAATAAACTTCCCTTCAGTGATATCATCTTTGCTGAAAATATGAAAGTGATCTCAGCCTATATGATGCAATTTGTAGTTTTCCCAGCAAGACATTAAGTCATCGTTATTCTTACACACAGGTACCGACAAGAGGGCAACTTGTCCCAAGTCACAGAAGATCTGAGATGGGAAAAATCTCAGGACATCAGCTTTCCAAGGCCTTTCCACACCTTACACAATCATAATTTTTTCCTCTATGGAAATGAATTCTATGTGAGTTGGCCAAATTAAGTAGTAACAATACACACTGATCCAGTATTTTTCCCATCTGTGCTCTACAATTACCTTGCAAGAATACAGCACATGGAATCAGAATATTTTCTTTTCCATACGGGCATAATTTCATGAGAACAATGCAGGCAAGTCAGACAGACTCAGTCCCAGGAAAGACCCTTCTATAAAGCACTGGCTTGCTTCTTTAGGACTAAGCAAACAGTGATATGGAAGTCCTTGGATTTTCATGGCAATGTGTTATTTTAGACTGGTGATGTAAGCAGGCATAAAATAAAGCATGTGAATTCTTCCCCTTTGAGATCTTACACAAACACACTATAGACATGACACTGAGGAGGGAAAAACAAGCCACTAGATCACTAGCAACAAAACCTTCATGCTTACAGGAGTGTTTGGTTTGAAGGGAAAGTTAGGAGAATGCTTCTATCCCACCTCATCTCACCATTTGGACAGAACTACACTGCTATGCATACACACTGCAACAATCCTTGTAAATTTATTCTTACTATATTTTGTTTAAGTGCACATTAAACTAAGTAATATCGATAATTCAGGCAATACAAGATTGCAAGGAAAATCATAAGCAGGTAAAAAGAGGAATGTTGAAGATAAAATACATTACCAATAAAAAAAAACAAATAGCATTTATCAACATTTTCTCTCTTCAACAGCCCTAGTCTTTGAAAAGCGATGAAGATAAAATGTTAATAAGACAGTTCCCCTAGTTTTAAGTAATGAATACACATAGTTTCAAATGAAGCATCAGTTTCCTGCAGATTTACATTTGCAGAACGAAGCCACATGCTGTATCTAATCTAATCAAATTACAGGCTGCTGCTGACACTGCTCCATCTACTTTGCTCCACTGCTGCTCATTGCTTGACATCTGATTTTTTATGAAATCACTGAGAAAGCTAATTGTATTCCATTGAACATGATTTTTGCCTCATTCAACAATCATGTGACTACAGAGGGATCAGCTCATGCGGCACAGAGAGGCAGCAGAGGCACGTGGGGTAGCTGACTCATGGTTGAAATCTGTAAGGTGTAACCTAAATCTGTGTGCTCAGCCCTGGATTTACCTCGCAAAAAGCACTTGTTTTGAACCAAACAGCTTAAACTACACTTCCCTCCCAAATCCACAGTAATGTCCTCTTTGTTCCAGCCTGCAGATATACACCTCTTTGCTGTTCCGATGCTTTTGAAGGCTTTAGTTTTATTCTCCCTGATATATGTAGTCAAGGTAATGTTAAAAAGATGAACAGAAAAGCCTAGAGTTCCCACCAATAATATTGCTAACACTGAAAGAAAACAAAGTTGTCTTGTGTTCACCTTGAAACATCAGTACCCTCAGATCACACACCTTCCTCTACTTCCCACACAACTGGATATGCACATACCAGTAGATTCAGCAGAACTGGCAGCTAGTTGTGTTTGCAAGGCAGTGTCATCCCACCACACACTGCTACTCCTACTTCTGCCAGGATTATCAATATAGCACAAGGAATTCCTGATAATCCCAACATTCTTCAGTCTTCAAAATTCATCATCTACATCTGCACTGTCTTCTTCCAAGTTCAAGAGATTACCACATCTCAGAAGGAAGATATCCAAGAGATCTTGAGGCATCTCAGAACACCTATAACTTACACCATCATCTTCAAATGACCAAATATTCTGTAACTCAAAAACTATCTCACCCAACACCCTCTGCACTTGCAAAAACAATAGCTCAGGTTTGAAATCCCTGGCAATAAACAGTTGCATAACAGCACTCAGCTACTTGGGAAGCACTGAACACTCAAATATCCAAATCTTGTTTCCCCAGAGGAAAGAACTATGGGTTGGATGGGAGTATCCTGCAGGTTACACTCAGCTCACAATCTTATAGCTGAACCATACTACCATAAGCAAACAGGAAAACTGCTAAATACCACATCAAAAAACCTCTTAGCTGCTTTAGGACAGGAAGGGACATGATAAAAAATGTGCTTTGCCAAATCTTTTTCATTTTTAATAGAGAACAAATGGAATCTATAGTAACAGCAACCCTCATCAAGATTTAAAACCAGAGGCAGTTGACCTCTTCTAAATGAGCCTCCTGCTTTCCCTATAGAGTCAATCTGTCTGTTCCACAGATACCTTGCACAGACAAAGAAACCAGCACAACATACAGAAATCTCCAGGGATTAGGAACACTGTCACAGGGAAAAAGAAAGTACTGCCTGATCTGCAAAGTAGCATCTGGAGGGAGGTCAAAACTAAAGGACAACTCTTCCTTCCCAGGAAGACACACTGAAGGAGGAATACAAAATCTTCAGATCTTACCCTTTAGGTTAGCTGTCTACAGATTAAACACAGTGACACAGAGGAGTACTTCAAAGATATTTTAAAAGGCTGTGCATGTGAAAGAACTCCCTAAGACACCACATAACACATCAGGCAAGATGGATAACACGTGAAAGGTCACAACCATTATGAAGAAGTAAACTAATCACAGACAGCAATGAACTGCTTTCAAAACTGGAAGCAAACACCAAGAGAACATCAGCTTGTTTTTCACAAGAGGCACTGAGGGAGGGAACTAGGATGAAATACACTACTGCTTCATGATACTGAAATTACTTCATTGGCTGGAATAAAGCAACTCCTCAGAAATAAACCCTCCACAAGGAATTTAGATCTCTTGTCCACACCACACAAATTAGCACATGAAACCAGCATGCTACATAGCACCAAACCCACACCACCAGAGGTGTGTACCAGCCTTTCTTCACAGTGGACTTGGACCCACAAATCTGACTTTGAAATGGGACAGGAGGGGATGCAAAAGAATACACAACACTTGGGTGAGTGACAACCTCACTAAAAAAGTAGTGCGTGCACCCCCCACTAGGACATTTTTGGCATGAATGAATTGTGGTATTCTCAGACTTCCAACATGTGGCATGCTAGTCACAGACCTGCACAGGATGCACAGTGATTATATGAAATATCTGATTCTTAGTACTTATATTTTTCCTTCAGAATACTTTTGTAATTCCTACGAACATTAAATATTCATCCTTGTTAAAGATTTAAAAAAATAGCAAACTTAAAATGCTCTCAATGGCTGGAGAGCAGAGGAGTAATCATTTCCTACAGGCTAGAGCCTTTTTGAGGTTATGATACCTAGTATTACTCAAATTTCTGTTTGCAACCTATTCACAAAGCAATGTTTTCAGTTATTCAAATAACTTTAACGGATTTTGACAATTTGAACTGTACTTTAAATTTCTATAGACTACAGCAAATTGATGCACAAAAACATCTGATGAAACAAAATAAGCAATACTTAAGCCAAAATGTACTTGCTTTTCTCTGTTCATCATCTTTGCAGCTCTGGAGTTTCTCATCAAAGAGCTGAAAGAAAAAGATACTTGTGAAAATCCTGGAAGTGCAATTTTTCCACATAAATCAGCCAGAAACACATTTCAAATTTCAGAACCAAAAGCTTTTAATAAGTACTTAAGTCACACAAGCCTGGTATTATGATCCAAAGCAGGTTTTGCTTAGTATTTCCTTACAGCATTAGAGATACAACAAGTCTGTAACTAATTTCTCACTTTTCCCCATCCTACAAGAGATCCAACCCCAGATCCTGGCTAGTTCCAGCCTGGCATGATTCTACCACAGTTGAAACAAAAAGGTGAGATTAAGTAATAAACTGCCTTTCTCCTACTTCAGCAAAGACCTTTGGGGTCTTACCAAAACAGCCTCAACCCTCATCAACCCTTCCAGGTACATGTTATTCAGGTACATGATTCAAATCATCTAATATTTGTAAGCACTTCTTTGGGGAAGATGTATAGTGATTTCCGAGCATTAATTTCTGTGTTTTCTTAGCAGTGGAATATGAGATGCAGCTAAGCCATGTGCATTTAACACGAGCTGAGCCAAAACAGTTAACAGTTGCCTCTGAGGGCACACTAAGGTGCACACACAAACAACCATGAAGTTGTGTAAGGAAGAGAAAGATAAAGGGTAGTGCTGAAAGTTCATCACATCCACCCATGCTCAGAGAAGAGGATGTAATTTTTAGGAACCGAGCTGCAGTTTTTCCCTCAGCTGCCTGCCTCAAACCTACTCATGTGTTTGCTTTCCCTTGAGGGCTGATTTCTGCTTCTAAAAAAAGACTCGGATCTTGGTCTCTGTCCATCCTCACATTGACTCTCCTTTCATTATTAATTAATTCCTATACCCCTCCCCCCAGCTGGCCTGAAATAACAATTAGAAGGTGTAAAGATTTAAATACCTTCTGTCAGCGCAGTGTGCTCCGTGGCTCCAAAGTGGGAGACAAAGATAACTCCCAATCAAGACTCTGCAGGGCAGCTTTGAATTTTGTTTGCATCTCTTCTGCCTACCTTCATTTTTGGTGCTATGCTCTTCCCCCTCTCTGCCCTACCCTCCAACTGAATATCCCACATGCAGTTATCAGGGAAAAAATCCAACCTAGCAGAACTGAAACAATCTTAACAGCAATTTTAACCTGCTGAGTCATGGGAAAAAGTATCCTCAGCAGCAGCAAAAACTGGTTTTCTCCATAAGGTGAGTACTGAGATATATGACCTTATCATTCTACACATTCCCATCTATCCTTGAAACACACATACAAAATATAGAGGAACTGTATTTGTACAAAATTCTACAGAATGTTTTCACTCAAGGACATGGCTAAGATTCTCTCTCACTACTGCAACAAAGTCTGCAACTATCTGCAACTGCAGCTCCATATTACTTGACGAAGTTTTCTCAAGGTAGGGTCTAAAATGCTATGAGCAATACAATGATTTAATTATATATTTGAAATGAAACTTCAGCCATCTCTGCCATTTCCATAAAGGTATATATAATACAGAATCTTTTAGCCATTATAAACCATTTTATGTGAATGTTTGATCTATTCTCATTTTTTAACTGTTTTATCAATCCCAAGATCTATTCCAGGAGAAAGCCATTTTCACCTTATTTCAGCCCTTAGCTTATAATATTTAATATTTTTACACTTGTAGTAAAAATATATTGCTTTCAGAAATAATTAGAACTGATGCAACACACTAAGGAAGGGAGAAAAAGGAAATAAAATTCTACCATCATCAGACTTATTATATAAAAAGGTGTGTTTTGTCCAGTTCAGTCAGCACACACAGATGAGCTCTCTGCATCCCACATTTACCAGAACATATGCCAAGCACAAAACATGACTGCCTGCCTCTGGTGAGCTTCCTTTCAGCCTGACCTTGAAATTCACCTGCCAAGCAGACCCCCAACACAGTAAACACACCAATGAGTTCCCATACCTTCAGCTGGTCTATCAAGATCTGTAAGTAAGCATCAGCCTCGGTAAGTTTCTTGTCAAAATCATGAACGCTGGGGACAAATCCTGAATCCACACCCTAGAAACATAAACAAATGAAAATTAAATATATAATTAGCATTTTTGAGGAGGAAAAAAAAAATAAGCCTGGCATCTGACTGATCAAATGTTGCCTTTGCCTCTCATCCTGCCACGTGCAAACACACGCAAACAGCTGAGCACATTTGGCTTCTATTTGCAGCTAAATCAAGAGCAGTAAATTGCTCCATATTTTCAGTGGGGGTGTAATCACCACACACAAGAGTATTTCATTACTTATGATTGAACAAATCCTCTTAAATTACACTAATTAAAGTTTCTTTATGAAATCTAAAGGAGAATTCAAGTTTTTTCTGAAGACTGCCTTGTGATTCCATTTCAGTTAGGGAAGCCCAAACCATATGCACTGGGATGACTGACTGCACTTTGCACACTGCAGACAGCATTGCTCAACTCACAGCTTCTCAGCTAAGATCTACAAAATCTCTTCTTAAACACAGACACACCTTTGAGCTCAAAAGTTCAAAACTATTACTCCTGGTTGCCCTAGTTCCTTCATAGCTTTAATGATTTGCATCCTTGTGACTGTATTTGATTTTTTAGATTTTGTGGCACATACACTGACAAGGACAAATATGAGTGCCACAAGAATAATTACTTTTCTATTTTCTTGCTTACTAGTTTGTCTTACTAATGTAAGACTCCAAGCACACTTCTGCATATAACATAATCCCCACCTGTAAACTGATAAACCTTGTATTTAAGGACCCAAACACATTGCCACTAGGTTACCACATGTTTAATTACAGGGAAAAAAAGGGAGGATTCTTGCAATTGATTCCTTCTGCCTTCATGCACATATGCTATGTAAACACAGTTAAGGTTTATTTATGTAATACCTCTAACACACATGAAACTGCAAAACAAACACTGAAGAACACTCAGCTTGAAGAACTGTGCAATGCAAGATAAACATATATAGGAAGAAAAAAAATCCAAAAATGACAAAGAAGTAAAAATCAGTTATAACAGAAACACAACCCTGAGAACATCACAGCAGTGACAAGACTCTCCTACTAGCCTAAATACTTGCACCTGTATTGATCTCAAACATGACATCTTCATTTCAAACTCTTATGCAACATCAGCTGTGCTGTTTTGCCTGCTGAGAATCTCAAGAGTCTGAACACGTAAAGATCAGCCAGTGGAGAAAAAACATTTCCAATAGGGGAAGACAGGCAATCCATAGTTGTTAAATTCCACAGTAGCATAACATTTTCTATGGCACCATTTGCCTTTTGTCAGTATGTATACTTTCTTTTATTTTTGTATGATAAGGGGCCATCCTATTAAGAACTTTATTGATGGCTCCTTGGAGGTGTGAACACTTGTGTGCAGCAGAGGAATGACTTGCTCTTAGCCCTGCCCAGCTGTGTGCACAGTGTCACGCACACCCTAAACCATAAAGCATCTACTGACTGTAGGAAACGTTAATTCTTTACTCATTTACCAAATCTTAAACTGTGCTGCAGACTAACACCCAGATCTTGACAACAGCTCGACATGAGCAAATCTATCCATACAGATTAGTTTGTAAACTAGCATAAAGAAAATATGCTGCACCCTGTATTAGTCCACAGGGGAAACATTTAGAAATAGTGTTTTGAAACCAGGAAGAGGGAGGAGAAGGGAAGAAAATAAAGCAATCCTTTTGATTATGACAAGACATTAAGAAAGACAAAAACCACTCAGTGTAACAAGTGATCAAAAAACCCTTAATAGGCAGAAGGGAGAGTGCTCTCAACCAAGCAATTTTTGACACTCCCTCCAACTAGTCAAGTTTAAATTACACTGAAACTAGATCTGAAACCATATGAAATTAATATTCTATTTCCCTGTAGAAAATGGAATTGTCTGTACAGCTTGCAGCCAACCCCATCATTCCAGCAAATGGTCCTGCATGCTCAGTTAAAAATTCTAGAGGTCAGGTTTCACATACCAAAACTGCGTGAACTACACAGAATTTCTCCTGCAGGTACTACACACAGAAATATAGTTTATGCTGCATGTCACCCATATGCTGCATCAAAATGATGATTCTTACTTCAGCCATCACTCTGTGGCTACTAATATGGAACTATCTGGTATTTATCTACCATTCTTAAATGTCAGGCTCTTAGCACTAAGGGAAAAGCTGATTACAACACCTGATGTTACAACTGAGCAGACATTCTCATCAGAGTGTACATTGCAACCTAAAAAGTTCTATTAGAAAGGTAAAACTTCAATCAATGGAAAGTGAAAGCCATAAACCCAAGTCTAGTGTCAAGCTGACACTGCACAGAGATGAAACAAGAAAATAAATTCGAAAACAAGGCAGGTACTTAAAGCTGTAGCACTACACTAGTTTGCCCTTTCTTTAGATGAAACGTGATAACCCACTGAGCAAATCTACTAGTCTGTTTGAGGAGATTAGGTTAACAATTGTGACATTATCACATATTTTCTAAAACTGAAAACCAAAAGCTAATTGAAAAGTTAAAGATTAGCAACAGAATAGAAAAAACCCAGCGTGAAGTAGCAAACAAAAATCAATCAATAGTTCAAACCCAGCAGTGATTTAGAAACAGCAGATACACAAAGTACAGATTGGCTTAAAAATTCCTTATTTCTTCACTATCTGTTGACCCAAAGACACAACAGAGGTAATAAGACAACCCTTTCTCTTCTTCCCAGCAATGCAGGAAATGAGGCCTCAAAAGAAACAGGTGAGCAGAGTCAATAAAAGGACACTTAACAACCTGTCAAACACGTAAATCAGGAATCTGCACATCTGAACCAGTAATCAATTTTTTATGAGAAACTTGTATTATATGCTGCTCACCTATTCATGAACTGACAAAACAGGTTGCCTGCCGATATTGCTGCACCTCCATCCTTGGAGGGCAGAGTTCTTGACCCTTGACACCCTGATCTAAAGTACAAGTTTGTCCCACAAGAAGGGGCTTGGAACAGGTGATTTCCAGAGGTGTTCTTCAACTGAAGTCATGCTGTGATTTTAAAACAAGTATCTTCAAGTTATGAACAAGAACCCTAACATTTTAGATCTTCAGAAATACAGTGATTCCATCTTACTGCCAGTACCTATCCAACATAGTATAACTTGACTTTCCACTGAATAATTAGACTATCAGTAACTATATTTCCCTCAGAAAAATGACTTCATTTAGGTTTTAAGTTATTATTCATTTAGGTATTAAGTTATTACCAGATGAAATATTTGCAGAAACAACTAACTTAAATAACTTCTAGTCTATCCACCACCTCCCAAAACAAGATATTTGGTGTCTGACTCCTCCACACCTAGAAACCTGTATGATAACAACTCTAGAGGAAAAGAGAAAAAGGTACCATAGCATTCTTTCCCTCATCCCTTCCTCTCTCCTACAACCTCTGGAATATCCCTCCCCTTCAGAATGTATCAAAAGCTTAAGGACTAGACTCCACAGGCCACACTCAATCCCAGTGTTTGTAGGCTGGCAGGAGGAAGCAGAGCCCAGCAGCACACTGACCTACCCAGTCAGAGGTCTCCCAGGGGGATCTGTGTGATCCCCAGTGACCTGGAGTGAGCAAACAGAATCATTATCCTAGGAAAGGGTTTACATGCTGGGCTGGGGTTGAGTAAACCCTCATGCTAATAGTCCTGCAAAATTATTCCCTTCATACACACAGCTTTTTTAGGAGGGGACAAACAGAAGGCCAACCACAAATATAACCCAATTGAAAATATCTATTATAAGCCTTATTTTCACTACAGAACTGCTAGCACTAAAGGAGTTTATGTGTTGTTTCCTGGGCCTCAAATTAGAAGTCACACACATCACTAATGCATTTGTATTCAAACCTTGTCCATGCTGAGAAATAATTCAGCCTAATTTAAACCAGTTCTTTCAAACTTGGATGAGATGAAAAGATTGTATCATCTTTAGAAGAAGCACACAAGAAAAATTCAAATATATTTCTCAAATAAAAGCATTACAATAATAGCTTCACTGGGGGAGGAAAAGAGAAAGCTGTGTAGAGCCAGCTTTCTTATCTTTTTGAAGATACTTCTGCTACAGTCTTCATCTAATTGAAGATTCCAAGTCCAACAAAAAATCCTGGTATAAATTAAAGAAGTGAATGTTTTCCCTCCATCCACAATACTTCATCAGAAACACATACCCTGCTTACAAGATGTTTGATTTTGTCAAGTAGGACATTGCCTGTAAGGACCTCTAATAGAAAACTGAAGAAAAATGACAAATCAACTTACAAGACACTAAACAAGGGCATCTTTCTGGCAGAAACAACCATATTTTTTTCCTCTTAGATTTTGCAGCAATATTTAAAGCTCAAAATGTAAATGTCTCCAGGAAAGTTTAAAAACATATATAGGAGGTCTGGGAGGCATATGAGCCTTCCAAAGGGTCAGAAAACTGACTTCTTAAAAATACTCTGCTTTGCAAAATACTACAGGTTTAGCAAGTCTGTGTAGCTGTATCAGGTGTTCCAGGAAAACAGAAAGTTCAAAAACCAGAAGTACTTACACATGGATGTAAAATTCTGTCCTTAAAACACAGGTTACAATTCTGAAACCTCACAAACACTAAAGTATAACCTGGAATCCCATTCCTTTGCCTATACAATCTATAATCCCTGTAGGTTTAAACACTGCCAAAAACACATGTGCCAAGATGCTTGCCCACTATCACAATTATTTTGTTAGAAACATCTGAAAACAGCAACACACCTGCCAACTCCATGCCCTTCCACCAGCACCTGAAACACATCCATACTGGATATACTCTTGACCTAAAGGAACCTGTTCTTAGTTTTATGCAAGAATTCTTAACTCACACTACAAGCAGCATTGAAAAGCTACTGAATAACAATATAATATACTTAAGAGAATAATATACTTAACAGATAAAAGTTTTACTCTACCTGTTATTCTTGTTTGCAGCTTTAGAAAGGTCGTAAGAAATCCTGGTTAATGTGATACCAAGTGAATTGCTACTAAACACTCTATACCAGCCTAAATGAACAACAAACAAATCAGTGCCCAAGTTGTTTACTCTCACCTTTACTCTGCTCTTTCTTTGGAGTCAGCATAAACAGTTACCTTGCCACATAAGCAGCTCCATGTAGAAGCTTATCAGGGTTGAAACTAAACTCAGAAAAGGAGCATAGCAGGAAAAGTGGCTTTAATTTGTGCCAGTTCTGAATCCAGTTCCAAGTTCAGCTCTTCTTGCCACACTGACTCTTCCCTTTTGCTAGGAGAAGCGAGACAGGACTGCTTCCAGCACCAGCACCAACTCCCAAGTACTGGTAAAGTCATGGCGTAACTCAATGTTTAAGCCATTGTATCACTCCTCACAGCAACCATCATTCTCAGGACACAATTTTCTTACCCTACTATTTGCTACTTATGAAATAAACTTCTTGTTTAAATTGCAAAGGTATCAACCTACAGAGTAGTTAATATTTTGTCATTCCTTTCACTTTCACAGTGATAAGGAATGGCCAACCTTTGTCCTGACAGTAATTTCAGCTCCTCTGTCTCTACACAGCCCACTTAGAGGCTGGAACCGTTTAGAGTAGATCAAATAAGGAAATTACTGTATTACCGTGGTCCTAAAAGACATGAATTATCCATGATAATTCATGGGCCAATTCCAGAGCCAAAAAGTACTTGTAGCACTAGGATGCCACTTGAAAGACCACAAGGAAAGCAGAGTATTTACACTAAACAAGACAACTAGAAGCATGTCCTATCTGCATGGGATTGCTGGTTGACATAAGATGCTGCTGAGGAACTAAAGAAAATTTGAGATAATTTATCACCCTCCCACCTCTGCCCAGATAAACAAGAAACTCAAGCCACAATATACCTTCAACCCACACACACACAACCTCCCCCTTATCTCCTGTGGGTATGAGGCAACTGCAAAGCCACTGGCCTGGTAATGTCACAACAGTAACAACTTGGGGGGATAAGAGGAAGAACACTGGTGGGTACCCAGTAGTACTGCACCATCTGTTCAAGGACTTTTCAACAGACAAAGCTAACACTAGAACTATGT